GATCAGATCTAAAGTTATCATGTTCTTTAGTTAATAAACTATAAGGTTACATAGTTTATTATTACGCCATTCTCGCCCAAATTTAGAGAGTTGCAGTCGTGATACCCAGATACCGTTTTTGGACACATTCAGTCGTGCACCATGTCGGTAATCAGTCTGATTGTTTTAGTTACTTGCTTAAGGGGGCTCCACATGGTTTTTGCTCAACTAAGGTTGGCTGCTGCTGTTGCCCGTGGGCGGAGACAGGAAAACACGGACCGCGCAAAGAACCAATCAGATTGCAGGGTTCGTTATCGTGCCCTCTGAGAAAAAAATAAATGAAAATCTTATATGTGAACTGCGGATAAAGACGTGAATATGAAAGCGATACTCGCAGTAATGAACACTACTTGAGCATTATAGTGAAAATAAGATCGCTCTAACATTTACGTTTTTATCCGCAGTTCACATACATGGTTTTTATATATTCACAGTCATTTATTTATCACTTCACGGGTTTATTTGGAACCAACATAGTAACTAGCTCCCAGTTGGCTTGTTAGCTCAGTTGGTAGAGCACTGCACCGGTATCGCAGAGGTCAGGGGCTCACATCTCGCATAGGCCTGAATTTCTTTCAGGCCTTATTTTCACTACTACTCAATTAGTGCTCATTACTGCGACGATCGCTTTCATATTTAAGACGTCTTACGTCAAAAAATTTAACGTTTTAGCGTGTGAAACCAATAGAGAGCAGACCAGCTGTGTTTCCTCTAGAGACAAAAAGCATAATTGCAGCTAATCACCCATGAAAACAATGTTTTGAAGAGTGAGATTTTACTTACCAATTGCTTAGCAGATGTGGGAAGTGCCAACGCGACTAAGAGAGATGTTGTTTCCTTCGGCTGGATGGTTTTGCGCGTTACCAAAAGAGATCCCCTTGATTTCAATGGTTATGGCTGCTGGTGTGGAATTGGTGGGGAGGGCAAACCCGTGGATGATTTGGACAGGTGATCTAACAAAGCTTTACAAAGATTAGTATTACTGATTTTCCTAGTATCCTGCGTGATGATTAAGTTAAAAAGTTGAAAAGAGAGAAAAACATACTGTCTTATTTCATTTAAATATTTCTGTGGAATAGTCGACAAAACCGAAAAGGAATTGAAAAAGACCCTTGGAATCCACCAACTTATCATGCTCTACCATCTTAAAAGGAGTATACGCTTATTAAATTGTCAGAAGATGGTAATGAAGCGTACTTTCCTGCTAAACAAGCGCTGTTAACCTCAGTGATTGGTAGACACCTAGAACAACTTCAAAAAGTGGATAAATCTATTTTCAGGTGTTGTCTAGTTCACGACAAATGCTATGACGACATTGTACGGTCGAAGGTTTGCCCTTTCGAGAAAGGAGTTTATGCTCTCCCCTACTCAACAAAACCGAATCACCCTGCCGAATGCGGTAAGTCAAAGAGAATGACTTACGTAATCCTGTGCATAACGGTAAAAACGTCTTTGTTGTGTAGTTTAGCTGTTTTATTTGCGTCTGCTTTTGCTTTTTTATAGGTTAATGTCCAGTTGTACTGTTTTTTATTCGAATCAGTTTTCGTTTTCCAGTTTCTTTTTTTTTTTGTAAGATGATTCGTTAGCATAAACCTGAACTTACGAGCACATTTCAGAAATTTCGTTAGCTGTGGTACAATAGGGGAACTTGAAACAGTTATTGGAATGGGTCCTCTGTTGTAAATTTTCTGGAAAACTTCTTTTAAAAATAGTAGACAACAGCATTTTAATATAAATTCATTTTACTTCAGAACCTGCATCTCATTACTGGCTTAAAGGAGAATGCCGCTTTCGCTTGTGCGAGTGCGATGCAGCTGCCGCTAAATGCTTTAAGAAGAATTGCTATCACGAGAAGTATAGAAAATACCCACAGAACAAATGCACGAATGACAAGCCTTCTAAAAGTGATGAAGAAACAACACAACTGTTATTTTCGCTTTGAGTTTGTAATTGTTCGTTAGATGAATAAAAGAGCAAAGATCCCTTTTGGCATAGTCTGGCTTCGTAGAAACTGCCTCAGGTACATGTCGCCTACCGATTATTTCTGTTGATTTGGTGATGTAATTTCGAAAAAATAACCCAACCGCATATTATTTTAAACCTTTTCCATCAATTTGCTTTAACAAGTCAACATAGAGTATCTAGCCTACAGAAAATTGAACTATCTTAAATTCCGCTTTACTGTGTCAAACTAAAAGCCCGAGTTTCTGAAGAAGCACTAACACCAGAAACAAATATCATTTTCATCTTCTCAGATGAAGGCATCATGCAGGCTCCACCGTATCATGTGAAATATTTAAAGAAGGACGAATCTATTGAAAAAGATAATTGATAATGATAACCAATACAACCAATCTTTTCATGATCCCTGTCCAGCTTCGTCTTAAGTACGCTTTCACATTGTGTAAAGCGATGTTCAGCTGAAGACATGATCAAAGCTCGAAACAGCAAGTAAAACATCACAAGGTTATCTGCCACCTTGGCCAGATGCTACGTTTAGGGTTGGAACCGATCACATCCGCAAATTTCTTCGTCAACCTTTTCACTTGTCAACCCTATAACGGAGCGTTTTAAAAACGATGCGTTTTCAAAACGCTCCAATTTAAAACTCTTTTCGAAAGTCTCCGTTTTCATCAACATTTTCGGTTTTTTTTAGAGTGGATGACCGGCGAAAA